CTATGTTACACACATGCACTACAGTCCTAACTTCTGAGAGACAGTCGCCATTTCAAATTTCATAATAAAAGATGTATGTTGCACTATATTTACCAAGCACGCACAGAAGATTGTTGAGTACCGTACAGGCAACATTTCACGGGTCTTTCACTTCCATCATTGCGTACGGATGCGATCGCAGTTTTCGTTTTCGTCCTCTTCCGCACCTAAGATCTACATAGAAGATTTTATATAACTTCCCTGAATCATCTTCTGACGCCGAAATGATCTGGAAGTTATTCTTTATCTGTTGAAGAGCAGAGCTGACAGTTCAGCTCACTTCCCTGAAAATACTGGCTTTCCGAACCAAGTTTTACCTAGGGCCTGAACAATCAGATACAAATTTATTGATCTTCGGGAGATCTATCTCAAGCACTTCAAGTACCTAGCGGTAATATCCTATGCATACTATACGCACCCCTTTCGTCTTGGCTTCTGTACTGTTGTTTAGCTACAATGACCGTATATATGATTACTGCATCTCTGCATATATACCCAGCCTGCTGTTATCCAGTCCTTTTTCTCTCCATCTTCTGACCCGTGGCATATATGCCTCAATTACCTTCGCTAGCTTGTTGACTTATTCTGTGATACTGTAGGTACCCACTAATGACTGGATGACTTAATCGATGAGGCATTGCTGGCCTCGGTTACTCTCTTTACCAGCGCCAATATCCCTCGTATTTTTTGCCTTCTGCCCCGTTGCTTACCCACAGTGACGTGATTTAGGCTTCGTGCAACTCTGCATATATCCAGAGCCTTTTATGAGCCGTTCCTATTTCTCTCACCTTTTGATTTCTTGGTGGGTATGCGTTACTTACCTGACTGTAATGCCACGGCGCTTTGTGATTACTAGATCCATATTCTAATGTTTTCTTTATGCTTAGATTATTCACATCTGTATCTCCCAATCGCTTCTCTTTGAAACCAGCGCATTTTACCGGTTCTTTCTTTGCTCCATCATAAGCAACTGGGGCTACTCAACTCCTATGCGCCACGCCGCCATCGTCTCGATTTACATCCCTCTTACCCGTCATTTGCACATGTAATCTTGGCCACTATACATCGCGGCACATGGTCCTCGCCTATCCACACTAAAATTCTGGCTAATGGATATCCTCCATCGTAGCCATACTCGAATCGTACTTCATAGAAAAAATGTCCCAAATAACTGTGTGTGTAAACGGTGTACAGATGAGATAAAATTCATACAATTGATTTAATTCCAATATGGTGTGATCACTTGAGCCTTTTTCTGTCATTTATGGATGCCAGTTTTTGTCTGCATTTTCTCCCTCATCCCCTTTACCGAGATCTGCGAAGAGCTGAATGAACTAACCTGATCGGTGTCAGCTAGCCGAATGTTCTAACAACCGGCGTTTGCGAATGAAGAATGCCTCTACATACTCAAATGGGACAGAATTTGCGCTTGGAAGCTTGACTTCTAGGAAAGGTTTCTGGTGATCCGAACAAGTGGATGAATCGCACCTTCAGTCAAAAACTTTCCTACACACTCCGTATTATCACTTATGGATCGGAGTTCACTACAAAACCTCTTAAATCTTTACAATTTATCCGGTTACCTTGGCGCCAATCAATACCACCTCGCCAGTGGGCTTTAATTGCGACAGAATCCCGATTACTTGGCGTTAACCTATCGTATGCATAATATCTACCTCGCCAGTAGGAAGATTTTTGCCGCAAACCGCGATGCTCAAAACGATTGCCACTAGATTCCATGAACTCACTTTACCCAATCCCCAAGGCCACCCATCGAAAACCCTAGTTTCTATTCGTCGTTTATTGAGGCAAGCCGATGACCTGCCCCCAGCTACCAAATATTTGGGAACCTATGGTTGCAACTAGCAACGGTTTCGTTAAACAATACCATGAATCTTGACACAGTTAACCAGCAGGAAGCTACTCGGTAAACAACTCATTGTATCCACTATTAAATGTGTCCCCTTCACAAACAAAAAGTCTGAATGACGCTCGAATTTCATTGTTCAAACCAATACGAAATTACTGCACAAAGTTTCATGTATATGATCATGGCTTTACGGACGTGCCTCGCAGGTCGAGAATGAAAGTGCTTATCGTTAGTTCATTTATATACCTGGTGCTAGTATTCAGTACATAGCTTAACCACCTCACTAGTGTGGATCGCCAAAAAAATTATTTCCCCTTGGACCGAATTTGTTGGAGTGTGAATATTGCGTTCGACCATCCTCGTTCATCAGATCACCTGAACAATTTCACTTACATGGCGTTACTTTGACACACTGTGAGGCCCACCTCTGGGATCTGAATAACTGGCTTCCACCTTACTCACCTTCTGGAGAACTTTGTTACGATCTTTATCCACCTCCCTATTGAGGATTACTACTAAACCGATTTCTACACGATAGGAAATCGTTGAGGAAATCATCTGAAACATTTCATTTACCTGAGGTTACTTTAGCACACTGTGATGCCCAACTCGCCAGTGGGAAACCTACAAAGCACATACATGCTGAACCGGCCTTCAAATACACCTAGTACATGAGTTGCAACCCCAAGGAATTCCGTTCATCCCGTAAGGGATATATCGTCATTTCCGTGTTACGACTTCCCTTAGCTTTACTGCAAATCATATTCCGTTATATCGCAATCCATACTATTTGAGGATGTGCTGCGGTAACACAACAGCAGTTTCAACATTTTTACCTACCCGGAATAATTCGCCTTCTTCGCTCGATGTAATCATATCCAATATACTTGAATGACTGCGAACATGTATCTCTGCAACCGCCTAATACCCGATTCAAACGTTGTCCTACATTTTCGTCAGTTTCTGATTTATGTACACACGAACGGCAAAATCCAATCCAAATGCATCTTAGAAGTTCGGTGTTAATTTGCTCTATCCGCTCGATTGCTTCTAAAACATGTTTTCTCATGCAGGTTATTTTCCCAATATATGTGTGGAATTTTTTGATCCGCTGGTACCTCTACAAAACACATGTTTATCAAAGATCTGAGCAAGCAGTACAACGAATGTCTTTCTTTGGAAGAACTCTTATCTTCTGTGTCTGTCTTTATATCAATGGTTGTCTAGATTTTAAACTTCTTAGATCATTTTATGGTCTATGCTTTGTACCTGATTGCACCTCACTGATCATGCCGACACAGGTGTGCCCCGTATCGACGAGAATAAACGTTTAGTTATAGTCTGTGCAGGTGTGCAACTAAAAACATTTATCATCAGTGACCACGCGTGGGGAACAGCGCTGTCACGACTGAGCTAAGTTCCATTCAAAGCGACCTAGTGTGTTTACCACTCTATGTGCAAGAAGACATAAACTGTGAAACAAGTAGCACCCAAGCAAAATAAATTGGTGGCACACAACCGTCGAATAGTTCAGGTGCTAAAAGCGTGAGTGGGGAAACAGTGAGTGATCGCAACCAATTGGCATCTACGCCCCGCGGTTGAGCGGCGAGTTTCAACAGCTCGCTTACTCCAGCAGCAAATATCCCACTGACCATGCTCAGTGCAATGCAGATGAGCGATCTAGTTGCGCATAGTGGAAGAGTATCGGAGCAGATAAACACGGTTTCCCCAGAAGACCTGTGCTAAATAGAATGTAGCACAAGGGCACTCGATCACGACTAAATGAAGGCCAAATCAAAGGGTAATGAGCGAAATTTAGTATAAATGTCAAGGGAGGAGTGGAGCTCTTCGGATCGCTTATGAACAACTAACACTTCAATGGATTGGCCATCAGAAATTCGAAGATAGATCTGAAGAGGACCACGAAGAAAAACAAGAGGAGCGGAGAAGCATGCATAGGAAGTTAATTGATAGCGAATCGGTCGGTGGTTCAGCAGAAGCCAACTGCCAGTCATCCAACGGTATGGAGTGTTGAAGGCCACCCAGAATATAACCGACAATTACGATTAAAAGTGATGCAGAAGACAAAATAGTATAAAACTTGAACAGTTCTAGTCCCAGTGCACCCACACGTATTTAATCATGAGAGCCAGAACACATGAAAAGGTACAGCTCAGTGTATTACGCTAACGGCTCCCTGCCATGCACTCGCAACCAGTTGTAAGCTACCAGGGTGAACGAAACTAGGTGACAGTAGGGAATCGAAGAAGAGAAGCAGAGGTTGCAAATCACAGGTCAAAACCACTACACTGCGAATACAATTTGGAGTGGTAAATAATTTAGAAATAATTTTTTAGAACTGGGGCATACCGGATAAGTGGAAGCAGAGGTTGTCACAAAGTAATAGAGTCGGACAATGGAATAAGAAGTCCGAAACAAGACAGCGAACAAACTCTATGGTCATGCGGTGTTCCCACCAGATATGAGCTAAATTGCGAAGGCACCGGTGGTCGAACGCAACTAGCTCCTTTGCGTCTGTCGACCTGATGGGTCAGGTTTCACATCCGTACAGTAGGGTTGAACGGACGGAAGAACCGTAGGCTCTACTCTTCACGATGAGCACGATGCTGTGCCCGTACGACTTGCGGCAGATGGAATACGCACTGTGATGACCCCCGAAAGAGCGAAACGACAGTCCAGCACATATTCGGATGGGTCCAGCCGTGATGAACTCAAGCTAAACATGCTTTTTTTCACCTTTTGCTTATTTTCGTTTGTATTTTTCGAAGTTATTTAAACTGCTGTTATTATGGCGATGCGGGTCAGAAAAGTGCACCCGCGGTGTATTGGGGTACATGGCACTGTTGACCAACGGGCTTTATAAAGCAACAGCTGTCATGTGGGGGTAGCGAGCATGCATGAGTTGTCAACCTTGGCTTTGACCTCACAGCGAAGGAGCGAATGAAATTCTTATGCGAAACTCCGCGTGTACAAATAGAAGTGGAAACGTGGCAAGGGAAAAATAACGCTTCATCTGAAGACATGAGAAAACTCATGCTAAATGAGCATACGGGATACGATAAGTACTTACGGGGTTTAGCTTTTTTCGAGCCAATTCTAGTTTTCTACGGAGCTCCTTAACACGGGCTTCTTGCCTTCGAATGTCATCATCTGACACAATGCAAGTCTAGGGAATAGAAGATGCCCCAGTCAGCCTTGCATGTAGAAAAGACAACTTACCTTGATCATAGGTTGGACCGGGTTAACTGCGACGCAAGGGTTCTTTTCCACGGCTGATGGTGGCTGTTCCTGACCGATAATGGGAATTTCCCTGGTATTGAGAGCATGGATGATGCTTTGCACAAGCTGTGCGGGTTTGTAGCCCGGCACACCGGCAGCTAATATCGTAGTGCATTAATTCATGAAAGTGGACAAACTCACTTTGGATGCCTCTCGGAAGGGGCAATGGCTTAAAAGCTTCGCCAGTGTCAGGATCTACGGCACACACATCGGTAAAGCGTTTTTCCCAAAACAACTACATGGAAAAGCAGTCAACAAAGGCAAAATGAAAATGATTTACCTGGTGTGGGGGTTCTTGTTGAATATTCTTTGCATCACTCCGTTTGCAATCAGGATGAGAGCGGATGACGAACGGTGCTAAGTTGTTAGGAGGACTGGTGCGGCGAACGAAAGGAAGGACCGGACTATCAGCACGAGGAACTAAATGGTCGGTACACAGCAATGAATAAGGATGTCTCACTTTTTGGAGCGCTCGGCTCAGTGCAGTCTTCGGAACGACGCACTTTAGCGGAGGGGCTCACAAATTTGCCAGAACGCCAGTCGAAGAATGATAAGTCATAGCCGTCACCTAAGATGGCTTTCATCTCGTGCTTCGTTCGAATCTTATCACCATCTGGGCTGATACAAATAGCTGGAAAAAGTAACAGTAATATACCTGATATAGTAAACATCAGTTTTCCCAGTACATAGGCCATTTTGACGGATACACTCTTCACGTTTCCATCCAGGCGGTAGAGCGATAGGCAGTCCATGGGGATGACCATAATTAGGTAAAGATGATGCAGATGAAACGGATTGAGTCTTGGGTAGATTTAAGTATGCATTCCGTTTGGGACAAGAATTGAAGTTCATTGTAGTGGATAACAGCTAGACAGGGTCACTAAATTGAAAAGTAGACAGTCTACAAATGGGAAAAGCTAAAGTTATAGCACTATAGAGAAGTTACTTAGCATAAAAGCTGTGATATTACACCAAGATGACATATATATATATATATATATATATATGACTGAAAGCGCTCGAGCCTAACATATAAAGCAGATACTTATGGGCACATTACGATGACTCGGCGACTCTAAGGTGTGCTTCAAATGTTTGCTGTGTTTACTTCACCGTACTCCCTCTGCGCGCATAGACATCGTATGGAATCGAAAGCAAGGTTGCCAACGCATGAGTTGGACCCAAATGTAGGCGCTAAACTCGAATCCTGGGTTGGGGCACAAGGAAAACGGACACGCCAGGCTGGAAACTGTTGCGATCTAACTGCTAGAGGATCCAAACCACTCAGCGAAGGAAGGACACAGCATACACGACACACACACATGGTTTCATTCGCAAGTCCTTCTTCTATCGACGAACGTTCAATTCCTGTGCATGCACCAATTTCACCGCTTTTTGGACATACCCCCGCTTGTTCCAAGGGATCGATGCGCGCTTATCGTCCGGTCTGACTTCAGCTCACAGTCACGTGACTTGGGTGCAAGACGCGCTTGCTCGTCGGCTATGTGTGACCTTGAGTCAGCGTCACATCCTAGGAATGAACCGGCAGAACATTCTTATTTTTTTATGTATGATTCCCGATTTGGGCCAACCTGGGAAGGAGTCACATGCATCACGCACGGGTAGATCTGCGTCTTGGTTGTGAATCGATATGTCGTTGCCAGTAGATTTGGAGCCGTTTCGATGTCTGCTGCTTTTGGCAGTTAGAAGGTGCCCATTAGAAGATCAAGACTAACTAAGCCATCATCACCATTATGAGGCCGATAAACCGTTTGTCAGAAATGATTGGCGTGGCGTCACTTGAACAGCGTATATCACGCGACCAGTCCGTCTTCTGATGATACTGATGACGCACTTACGATGGCCACAGCGATAGTCGCTGATCAACACGCGATCTGACGGATGAAGTATGCAGTGTTCGTTTTTCTTGGACAGCAAGTGACTGCTGTCTCAAGACTGGTCGGATAACTTCGTGCCAGACGTGATTATCGGTCCACCAAAGCTTCGGCGGAGGAGCAGTAGTTCAAACACTGCGGATTTATGGTGGTTCCGTAGTTAAGGAGAAATGCGTCTGATATCCATCGTCCTTTTCTTCCGGACTTTAGTAGAGCTCGCTTAAGGGTTCACAAATCTCTATGCCTACCTATTAGATTTTGGATGGAAACAGGGTGCCTGATGTGGATGATAGCGTAGCTTTTTGTGAAAACAACGAACAACTACGAACTATACTGAGTACCATTGTCGGAAACAACCGTTTCCGGAAAGCCAAAAATTAAGAGAACAGACATGGTAGTTTTGCAATTTCTGTAGTCGAAGTGTATGAATACAAAATGAAATTTTCTGGCCAAATGCTGAGAGCGTCCACAAGAACTAGGAAAGCTGGTACATCATTCAGTCCCATAAAATCAGTATGGATGCGCGCCCACGGTCTCTCCGGTTGTGGCCAAGGTTTAGTCGGGTATCAACTAGATAGTCACTGAGCGGTAACGCATCCAAAATAACTTCGCAATATTTGAATTGCCCATTCCATGGTCGGGCGGATGAGCGCCACTAACCAGTCCAAACAGGACGAAACGGCTGTCTAGACCAATGCAAGATGTGTGGCGGCTGTCTGACTCAGTTGAGCTGCGATGAATCTCCTCGAAACATGCAAAATAATTTATATAGATAGTCTATGTACAGGTTAAGTTACGGCTATAACGACACCGACACAGAAAGTCAGCAATGGGATCCTATTCCAATCGGCAACGACGTAGGTGAGGGAGAATCAAAGTTGAATCTGTGACGAACTATTCAACCAGCGGCATAAAGACGAACACAGACGGACAACTTAGATTCGCTGAGTACGTTGTGAAAGTACACATTCTGGAAGAAGTTTATTATACCTCAAGCAAACGGAATCGTCGGGTGCTACGAAAGTATCCGGTAGTTCGAGTTTATATATTATGTTTATTTATTCACAGTCTGTTAACAGACATTGTGCCATCAGAACCATTGCGTCGGGTAGTTGCCGGTTTCAAGACTCCGCATTCTTCTAGGGGTTTAAGTGCAGTAGCAACCATTCGTAAAGCTGCATGTCTGAAAATAGGGTTGACATCGAGGAGTAAAAAACGCGCTGCTTTTGCTTTGGAGTAGCACCTAAGCCCATCCGCAAAATTGTACTAAATTTACTCAAAATGGCCAAAACATCCTGTTACCTCAGGTAGATCTGTCACGTTCAGAAGCTTGGTTATGCGTTAATGAACACAACTCGTTGATTGGTATGTCAGGTGATCAGCCCAGTCAGTCCCAACACGGTTGAGTCCACAAGCAGCTACGCAGACCGTGCTGCGGACGCGGTCATCGGAAATTTACATAAGTATCAGCCATTTGAACTGATGCTTCGCTGCCATACAATCACAACGAACAAAGAACAATAAAAGGTAGAGAAGAGGGAGTTGCCAGAAAACTTTAGTCCTAAACCCTCAGGGTCAAGGCGACTACACCTTGTCAACAAGATACCATTACAAACGGCTCGCCATTGTGGAAAGATAAAGCGGCATCAGCGACACAGCTTCCTTGCGGCTTTCACTGCCCTGCGTCATAATCAGCTATTATCCCGCAGATAACTTAGCCCAAAACATACTTTAAATAGGCAGTCCTGCTAGGAGAAGGCAGCAGACGAGCCACTGGTATCGACTACGAACCATGTCCAGTACCGTCTCAAACTAAGCACAAGGCGGAAGAACGACACGCAATGACTTCATTTTCGGGTGCAGTTAATTCGTGCTTGTAGTGGAGTGAAAACTAGTCTTACACTACCGCACCAGAAGGAAAGGATTAGTGTCAGATAAAAGTATCAACACGCTGACCTTCAGTAGTGACGGTTGGACTAACTCCACTGATATTGCACACTCCCTGATACGATATTCCAGTGTTGGTTCCGCGAAGCTCAGACTTTCCAAGCACACCAACAATGCAATCGCAACACGCCGCCGAAGGAAAGCAGAACGCGCCGTTCGAGGTCGAGAATTGTGTGTATTATAAACGGTGAATTAAAACAACTGTACAAGACGCATATAAAAAGCGAAATGAGAAAAGCGCAAAAAATGAAAAAGCTATGAACACTACAGGACTCCCCCCCTAGAGCGTGAGTGAACAAGCGAATGCTCGAAATGTACGCCTCACTGATTGTAAAACGCTAGTTTAGAAGGAAGAACCACCGTACGACCAAAACGTGTGCGTTTGTGTGTGTGAGTGGTTGCAGGGGGAGCTGCAGAGGGTTGCGAGGGAAGGACACTGGGATCACACATAGGCTGTGTAGGGGGAGTGCTCGGCGATGGATCATCATCGGGAACAGATGCGTCTGAAGATTGCTGAGACGGAAGAAGTTCGATGTAAGCGGGTTTCAAACGATCGATGCTTACAGAGTCTTTGCAGCCATTTCGGTCCAACACAAAATACTTGTCCTTGCGGTCGATAACCTTGTAAGGACCCTCGTAGGGTGGCGTCAGAGGTTTACGAACAGTATCGATGCGCACAAGAACGTAGCGACAATCGCGAAGATCAGGATGGACCTGTGGGTTACGAAGCGTGAGTCGTGGAGGTGTTGGGCGTACTGAACTGAAGTGACTCCTCAGGCGTGTGGCATAGGATGTAGGATCCATTTCACCAGTGACCCTTGAATCCAACACCATCTCTCCAGGAAGTCTAAGTGGCGTGCCAAAAACTAACTCAGCAGGGCAACAGCCTATGTCTTCCTTGACCGTGTTACGTATGCCAAGTAGGATTATTGGCAAACGCTCCGACCATTGCGTGCTCGACTGAGAAGCGGTAATCGAAGCTTTCAGTTGGCGATGGAAGCGTTCGACCAAACCATTGGCAGCGGGATGGTAAGCGGTTGTGCGTATGTGAGAACAACCGAGCAAACGACTTAGGTCACGAAACAACGAAGAAGTGAACTGCGGACCTCTGTCTGTTGTGATAGTAGCAGGTGTGCCAAAGAACGAAATCCAGGTTTCGATGAAGGTTCGCGCTACTGTTTCAGTGGAAACGTCCCGTAATGGCACTGCATGCGGCCAACGTGTAAATCTATCAACACATGTCAGCAAGTATTGAAAACCGTTGGAAGGGGGCAAAGGACCAACGATATCCAAATGGACATGCCTGAAGCGAGCATCCGGTGATGAAAAGGTGCCAGGGACAGTGATTGTATGGCGATGGATTTTGCTGGTCTGACACGTAACACAGTGCTTTGCCCACTGTTGGATGTCAGAGCGCATATTGGGCCAAACAAAGCGATCTGTGATCAACTTAACAGTAGCTCGAATGCCTGGGTGCGAGAGTCCATGGAAATGATCGAAAACGACTCGGCGGTAACGTTGGGGAACGTAGGGTCTGGGCTTACCCGTAGACATGTCACAATGAACTTTAGAGTCAGAGTTAAGAAGCGGCAGAAGGGTAAGTTTGATCGAAGGGTTTGATTTCATTTGCATAAACTCAGAATCTCCCTCCTGATGAGCAGCGATTTCCTCTAGATCAAAGGTCGGACGTGAAAGTTCTTGAATTCCAATGCGGGACATTGCGTCGGCTACCACGTTGTCAGTGGCGTCTATATGACGGATGTCCGTAGAGAACTGCGATATGTAATCAAGATGTCGGGTTTCACGAGGGGAAAAACGGTCCGAAGAACCGCGAAAGGCAAAAACAAGTGGCTTGTGATCAGTTAGAATGGTAAATGAACGACCTTCAAAGAGATGTCGAAAGTGTTTAA